TAAAGTCCCATTTATCTATTTGTTCTTTTGTCATTTGCGCTTTTGGTGTCATATGCAAGAAGACTTTGCCTGATTCGAGGTCAAGAAGACTTACACCTATGTTTTCTTCTAAGCATTTTATTGTTTTAGCTCTTACATTTAGGTATATGGTCCATTTTGAGTTAATTTATTATATGGTGTGGGGTAGGGGTCCAATTCATTCTTTTGCATATGGATATCCAGTTGTCCTAGCACCATTTGTTTAAAAGACTATTCTTTCCTCACTGAATGGTTTTGGCACTCTTGTCAAAAATCAGTTGAACACAGGTATATGGGTTTAATTCCAGACTTCCAATTCTATTTCACTGATTGTATGTCTATCCTTATGTGCCAGCAGCACACAATCTGGATTATTACAGCTTTGCAGTAAATTCTGAAATCGGAGAAGTATGAGTCTCCAAATTTGTTCTTCATTTTCAAGATTGTTTTGGCTATTCTGGGTCCCTTGAATTTCCATATGAATTTTAGGATTGGCCCATCCATTTCTGCAAAGGAGCCGGTTTGGATTTTTATGAGGATTGCATTGAATCTATAGGTCAATTTGGAGAATACTGACCCTTACCTAATACTTAATAACATTAAGTCTTCCAATCCATTAACACAGAATATCTTTCCATTTATTTAGGTCTTCCATAATTTCTTTCGACAGTGTTTTGTAGTTTTATTGTTTTAGTTCTTACATTTAGGTATATGATCCACACTTCTTAGGTTAAATTTATTCAATTCTATTTTCTTTTACTCATTTAGCTTCTTAACATATCACTATCTCAACCTAAATATTTTAAATTGGAACCATTAAATATTAATAGATCAAAAACCAAATCAACGATTTAAAGAAAGAATGCTGACAAATTTTCAAGGAGATTTGATAAATAACCTGTCATTAAATCACTGTGAGTAATTTTAATGTCTATTTATTTTTATGAACTATTTTCATGGAAAATACTAAGAAAATGAATGTGAACAGCTAGGAAAGGCAAGTTCCATCCCAAACGGACAAACAGAAAGGTTACTACTCTGATTGATCAGATTGCAGGTCATTTATTAGGCCATGTTTGCTAATGGAGAAGAAGTAATTATAGGAAAAAATCAGTGCACCTGGTATAACTCATTTTCTTCAGACCCTTTCTCCAATGCAGTTAAAGTCAGATTTGGGTACTGCAAAAGATGAAATAGAGCAAATATCACACAAGTTCAAAAATAACTATTAATAGTTTAGGAAAATAAGAAACTTCATATGCTCCAACCCAGTTTGCCAGAGATCACTACACTGAAGTTCCAGGTACTAGTCAAGAATTAAGTGTCATTCTTTTTTTTTTGCCATTGTTCCTTGTGAAAATATTATCACTCTAAAACCGGATGGGGAAAAGGTACAGATATCAGTGGGATGGCACAGGATTCAGAAATTCTAGGGAACCATGAATATCATTTTTTAAGCCATAATATATGGCTTAAGCCATAAGCCATAATATCATTTTTTAAAACATAATAGCAATCCAAATCCCAAAATAATTTCTAAAAGTTAAGATATAATCTATAATCTTAGAACCTTATTAAAATCTC